AGGGCAGGGAGGGAAGGCTGGAAGGTGGGGAGCACCCTGAAGGCTTTGGCTTCCTGATCCTGAGCAAGTGGCTTTACTAGCTGGGGCCTCAGTTCCCACATCTGTAAAATGGGCATAATAGTCCCTACATGAATGAATATAAAGCATCTGGCACAGAGCAGGTGCTTTGGAGGGAGAGCTCTCTCTTCTCCATATTCCTCCCTCCAGGGCTTCTCTCCCTGGTCTGCAGTCAGAGCCCTCCAGCCCTGGCCTGGTTTCCTCCCATTTCAAGGGCAATGTTATAATTAAGTGACTGTTCCCACCTACAGTGGAGGGAAACTCATTTTGTTTTGAGAACTTGGCCTCTGGCGTTTGGACATCAGGGGGTTTAAATGAGAGGCCTTAATGTGGCATTTACAAATGGTTATGAACTTAACGCAGCTGAGAACGGGGCCAAGGAACCCCAGTGAATCCATGAAATGTTAGGCCCTATTTTTCTCTTTGAATCTTTCTAAGTCAGGAACATAGAAATAAGAGAAGGGAGGACTTTCCCTGAACCAGCCAGCGGGCGTTTGTGGAATCAGGCAGACAGGCTCCTCTTTTCCCAGCAGGAAGCGTAACGAAGCATTTAAAACCTCAAGCGCTCCAGACTGTGAGAAACCCAAACACCCAGACCAGGTGGGTGCATCCCACAGGCTTCCGGAGAGGCTTGGCTGGCTTCAGAAACAGCCAAGCTGAAAAGCAACGCGTTTGATCACCATTTCCAAACGCTCTAGGTGGACACTTCAGAGCGCGGCGCAGAGCTGGCGCCCGCACATGGGGGACCTGCGTGGCACGCTCCTCACCTCTGGGCTGGCGGGGGCAGGAGGCTGGCTTGTAGGTAGTCCACAAAGAGGATTTCTTGAGCAAAATCAAAGTGGCAGTTGCCCGGCCCCTTCCGGATGAGAAAGCCCTCTGGAGGGGAGATGCACAGGCCGTCCAGGGAGACGTGGACGACTTTGGCCTAGCAAAGGAAAAGCCACACCTGAAGAAGGACGCGGCATGGAGGACAGCAGCCTGTGCTGACACTGCTGCTGCTGGAGCTGCAGTCATGGCAGAGCCTCCGCAGAGCAGGAGACAGGGCAGGTGAGTGGAGCACACAGACATCCTCCGGGCCACTCAGTCACAGCGGCCTGAGGCGGTCCGACATGGTGGGCAAGGGCACGGACTCAAGTGCTCTGACATCCTTTCCATGCCTCAATGTCCTTATCTGTTAAATGGGCTCAATATTGAGTTAACTTAGGTCAAGTATCCAGGACAGAACAGCGCCTGGCACAGCACTGCTCCTTCCCTGAACCCTGGTCACATGGCACCATGGGGCCAGCCCTGCCATTCTTCCTCCCTTAGCTCGTCCTTTCGGGGCACAGGCTCCCTAGCAGTGTCCTTGGTGGTTTGTGGGTCTCCTTTGGTGGCAGAGCCCCCAGCTGGACCATCTCTATGTGCCTCAGGCCTGGCACTCAATCGGTGTTTACTAAGAGCTTGTGGAATCAATTGGATTTGGGCCAATAAGCCCCCTGTTCTAGGCCAGATTTCACCAGCCGGATGGCCAAGTCTAGCAGTAAATCTCAAAGCCTTAATGGCAGCATGTGCGGTGGCTCAGCTCTGAGTGAGCAGAGGGGGTGACAAGCCAGCACTCCCTCTCCAACCACACATTTTGGAATCAAGGCTCCTGGCACCTTACCCCTCCTTCATGGTTAGCAATATGGGCCCAGCTGCTGACCAAAGTGGTGGAATGTGACACCCCGGAGCTCTGGGAGATGCAGAGGGCTCCTCGGCGCAGGGAGAAAAGGGCCTGGCCCTCGGTCTCATGGGTGACTCCGTGCTCCAGGAGCCCTCCATTCCTTCAGCATTAAGGGAGCTCCCTATTATGTCAGTCAGGGTGATGGCTTCAGGCATGGCTGGATATGGGGCCCCAAAGCTGTCACCGTATCTCCACTCTACTTTTTCCAAACCTAATTCCCACCCTGACCCCAGAGCTGGGCCTGTGACCCTGGCCTGGGCAAGCTGAGAACTCTAACCACTGCCATGTGACCGCCAGCCTAATGGAGCGTGGCCAGAATGATCAGCACGAGGCCTGAGTTTTGCTGGTGCCTAAAGGAGGAGCTCCCTCTTCTGCTGGACTTGGAGCTTGCATAGGCCTAGAGCTGCCAGGTGCGCCCTGTGGAGAAAGCCGCCTGGAAGTGAAGCTGGCGACAGAGCAAAGCAGAGGCCCAGGAAGGCCCTGTCCCTCTTCTGGGGCCACCATCCCCTCCAGGACGTGTTCCTGACTTCCCCAGGCCACCGCTCATTCCCTGGGGGCGGGTTCTTTTATTATCACTTCCATCTTCACTATGGAGTTCAGAGGGCAAAGCAATTTGCCGAAGGACATGCTGTGACTCGAGCCTCGTCTCCAGGAGTCCAAGGCCTGGCTCTATCTAACCTCCAGTCAAGGGCCAGGCACCAGGGTGCCCAGGAGCAACTTAGGTGGCCATCTGATTAGTTTTCTTGGGGGCACAGCTTCCACCACACTTGCTCCAGGGTCTGCCCTCTCCGACTGGGCCCATCTCCCTCATCCCACGGGGCCACTTGGCACTGGCACCAAGGATGGGGGGCTGGGGCAGACTGGGAAGCAGGGCTCTGAGCTCAAAGTTTCCAGCACATGACTCCAGGTCACAGAAGATCAACTGCAAAGATTGATTCACTCAAGAGAATGGAGAGACCAGAGGCACGAGCTGGAGCGTAAGAATTTTTTTTACCTGACTTTTTAAATATGCTGAACCTGAGAGCACCCTTTGTAGCTGCTCGGGAGGGAGGGGTAGCACCTGGGGGTTGGGGGCAGCCACCATGTGGTAAAGCCCACGGTCCTCCAGGCCCCTTGGGTCCTGCGGAAGGACTCTGTGGCTCGCAGGAGCCCAGACCTGGGCTCACAGGCCCCAAGGCCAAGTCCTGGCCTTGTCAGCTTTCCTGTGGCAAAGGGTGATGGCCACCCTCCTGAGGCAGGTATCGTCCTCCTTGTCATTTTACAGAAGAGGAAGCGGAGGGCGGGGGAAAGCTGGCCACCTTCCAAAGGTAACGCAGGTGGCACGGATGAGGAGAGACAGACTCAGGGCCCTATGGCCCCGGCGCCGGGACTGCTCTGCTGCGCTCTGGTGACCTACCGCCACTGTTTCTCCTGAGCGGGAAGGTGGCTGTGTCACGGCTCACAGGCACAGGTGGGAAAGCCATGCCAGGAGGGGCATCTCTGCCCCCTTTCCCGCCTCCCGCAGGGCCTGCTTTCCACACCCAGCAGCAGCCCTCGGCGGGACACTGAGCTGCCCTCCAGCTCCGCGGCCCTGGGTGAGTGACTGGACCTGTCTGAGCCTCACTTTAAAAAAATAAATAAAATTTTTTAATCCTCACCTAACGCATGAGGATATTTTTCCATTGATTTTAGGGGGGGGGGAGAGAAAGAAAAAACACTAATGTGCCAGAGACACATCGCTGGGTTGCCTCCCACATGTGCCCTGGCTCAGGGCAGGGATCAGACCTGCAACCCAGGTGCGTGTGCCCGTGATCGGGAGTCGGACCCAGGACCCTCCAGTGCACCGGCCGACGCACTAGCCGCTGAGCCACACCGGCCAGGGCTGAACCTCAATTTTTGATGCCCTGAAAGACAAAGGTAGTAATACCTGCCTCCCAGAAGTAGGGCAAATATCCAAAAATATGATGAACTCCTGAGAAGCCCTTAGCCCAGGGCCTGGTCCCCAAAGCACTCAACGAACAACGGGGCGCAGCTGACCACCACGGGTTGAGGGCTGGGCCCGAGGACTCCAGAAGCCCCAGAAGAGACAAGCTGCCAGTTTCCGGAGTCTGCTGGGCTCTTCAGGCTGCATTTGCTGTTTGCAGAAGGAGGAAACAGCAGGGCACTCTCCCTGGCTGTAACCCCCACGGCCATTTGGAAAGTTCTGGAGGATTTATGCTCCTCTCTGGCAGCCACGCCAGCCATTCATCAAGGCGCCGTTTCCTTGACAGTGGGCTGAGCTCGGCCACCTGCCCCCCTTACCCCTCGATAGGTGTCCTCGGGAGATTTATTGTAGTTCCAGAAGCGCAGGCCCGCGATGCTCTCGGCGCTGTCGAAGCAGATCGTGACCACGTGGTCCAGCCCCGGCGAGAAGGGGATCAGCCACATGTGCTCATCCTCCATCGTGATGTTGGCTCCATCGATTAACCTGCGCGCAGCAGGGAGGAGGGTGAGGCGC